ATTTTATAATTATTTTGTTATTATTTCTATTATATTATATTAATTATTTATTTCTTTCTCTTTTACTTATAATTATAATAATTATTATTGATTATTATTATCATATTTTTATATTAATTATTATTATTATTATATATATTAGATTTATTATATCATGAAGACAAATTATTTTTATATCAAAATAGCATATATTATGTATATATTTTTGCATTAAATCTTTTTATCATGTATTAATCAAGAATTTTTGCAATTAATATTATTAAAAAACACAAACCAATCTCAAACTACTTTCGCGAATAAAATTAAGCTAATCAACATTCTCTTTACAAATGGGTTTCAGACTAATTTTGACTTACTGCACACTCAATCAAAATCTCCGCAATCACTACTCCCGACCGAGTGCGGAGTGATTCAAAATATGTTTGCAAACCCCTAAAAGACACCAACCCATACGAACTACAAATTGGGACTCTGATTCCTCATAAGAGGATACATAGGCATACGATCTAAAATCGTGGCGAGTCTTGCTAATTAAAATTTAAAACACTGTTCACGCTAAACCTAAACCTAGGGCTAATATCCTTGTGAACAAGGTAGATGAAAGGTGCCTAACACCTTCCTTTTGTCTATTTGAGTCCGAAACCTAGAATCTATGTATGTGAATTAGGGTTTTATGTTAGGTTCCCTATCCTAGGATAAAAACTAATAGTGGTGACTCATGATTTAAAAACTAGTTGCTACAACTCCATAAATAGTAGATCATACAGGGTCTACAACACACATACCAAGATAATGATGGAGTCCATAAATGTTGTTGTTGATGAAAATCCTGATGAGAAAGAAGTTGTTGAATAGGAATATGATGTGTCCCCTCAAAAAATTAATGTCCCAAACAAGGGGCCTGACATTGAGACTAAAAGTGAAAATTCTGAAGAAAGCACTACCAACAAAGGAACTTCCATCATAATTAAGAAGGATCATCTGATTGATAATGTCATTAGAAATCTGATTGAAGGCGTCATTACCAGATCCATAAATATGATTGCAAACTCATACTTCATCTCTAAGATTGAACCTAAGAATGTCAAAGAAGCATTAACTGATGACTTCTGGATAAATACCATGCGAGAGGAATTGTGTCAATTCAGAAGAAATGAAGTTTGGGAGTTAGTTCCAAGACCTGAAGATATGAATATCATTGGTACCAAATGGATCTTCTAGAAAAAATCTGATGAAAGTGGTAATGTGACAAGAACCAAAGCAAGTCTAATTGTTAGAACAAGGTTTGGATCTATGCTAAATCTCAGGACTTTGATGATAATAATACATATATTTTATATGTAAACAATTTTGTTTCTAATAGTTTCTTGAGTATGTAGATTAGAAGTTTTAATTGATTCAGGATTGTTATCTGGAGAATCATCAAAAATACTCCAAGCACGAATCCGAAGACTATTGAATTTGATTTTAAAGTAACATAAATAGTTCTGAAGAATGCCAAATGTTCGCCAGAAAGAGGATCTTCTGTGTACTTCCTAAATAAGATGCTACTTCAGAAGTCACAAGTATTCAAGAAGAAAGAACTTTGTTAGAGCTACTGCTCCAAGATCAGAAAACAAGATTGCACAAAAATAAGCTTTCACGTCAAAGACCAGAAGTCAAGATTTGTTCACCAGAGGAGATGTTGCTCATAACTCTGAAGACAAAGTCAAGATTCTGAATAGACCAAAGGAAAGCTTCTACTTCAGATTCATAAGTCAAGATTTGTTCATCAGAAAAGCGGTTGCTTCTAATTCTGAAGACAGAGTAAAGATTATGAAGACTCGGGAACTTCGTGGAATATGCACACATAAATTTACATCAGAAGTACTCCATCAGAAGACAGATCAAAGGAAAGTTATATCTTCTGGACTAATAACTTCTACACATCATATAGTTCATCAGAAGACAATATCAAGATGATATCTTCTCAAGCTAATCTACTTCATCAGAAGTCATATTCATCCGAAGACAATATCATCAGAATCAAGCGCAAGAAGAGTTAATACAAAAGTACAATTACACATTCCACTCAAATGGATGTACTGTATACTATTTTTCTACCATGACCAATTCCTATCGTTAGGGCAGTTGGCAAGATGAAAGTAACATGTTTACTACTACAACAGTCTCCTTCCTTAACGCCTATATAAAGGATCAACTGTTTCATTTGAAAATTGCAAGAATATAGAACAAGAATAGTAACACTGCCAAAATTAAACAAAGAAAAAGCAAAGAAAAAGAAAAAGGAAAAAAATAAAATAAAATAAAAGATAAAAAACAAAAGAGTTGTTTCTCATTATTGTGTTAACATTATCATTTGCTAGAACACTAGAGTTGTTGCTCATATAGTGTTGATATTACTATTCAGTAGATCAAAAGAGTTGTTGCTCATTATTGTGTTACTTTTGTAAATTGTTTGAATACAAGAGTTGTTGCTCATATTTGTGTTAAATAACTTGTACTTAAACTTCTGTGTAATTTGCTTGTAAGAAGCATACTTGTAAATACATTTTCAATGGGTAGTTGATTAAAGTCTCTTTCTAAGGCATAGAGAAATCTCCTTCAAGGGACCGGGTAGGTCAGAAGCCTTAAGGAGTCAATGATTGTTATATTTCTCAGGGGATCGGGAAGGTCAGAATTCTTAAGGGATCACTAACAGGTTATCATTGTTGTTAATCACCAGCGGGTAACTCGTGCATTTGTTAGTCATCGGTTGGTAGCCCGTGCAATTGTAATCAATTTAGTTATAGTGGATTAAGTCCTTTTATAAGGTGAAATCACCTTGGAAGGTGGACGGGATTAAACTTTTCTAAGGTGAGCCTAGATGAACCAAAAGTTTCTTTTTGTTTCTATTTCTGATTTTCATTTCTAATCCTAGCATTGTTTCTAATTCTGATCATTTGTGAAAACCACTTCTAAACGAAATAGTTTTAAAACCCAATTCAAACCCCCTTTCTTGTGTTTTTCTCCATATTCACTAATTGCTCAAGGGTACACTCAAATAGAAGCGGTTGATTTTGATGAAACATTTTCTCTTGTTTCTAGGCTTGAGTCCATTAAACTTTTGCTAGGGATTTCATGCATGATGAAATTCAGATTATATCAAATGGACGTAAAAAGTGCTTTTCTAAATGGTTATCTAAATGAAGAAGTATATGTAGAGCATCCAGAGGGGTTCATTGATACAAATTTATGATGTAGGAGGGTTGTCAACACATATCAAAGGAAAAGTCACGGTTCAGAATGGTTCAACAGGATTTATGCAAGTTTGGCTTTCGATGTCAAAATTACTCGTGTTATAACTTTTTGAAATTGAAGCGAACGACAAAAGAACACAGAGCCGCCACCAAACTTTATTTATCCCGAAGGAAGAGGAAATATCCAGAAAACCCCAAGAGGATAGATAATATGGTCTTACGACCAAAAGAGAGGGTACAAAAGTCAATTATGCGAGGGGAAGGTATTAGCACCCCTCACATCCGTTGTACTCGACGAGATCCATTTAGATTGTTTATTTCTAAGGATGCGTCTATCTAAAACTATAATTTCTAATGGAAATGAAATGGTTTTTATTAGTGCGTTCGTGAGGGTCTCGTAACCCTTTGCCTACGTATCCCGTGAAGGAATCATAACATCATAGTTCTTCTAGAAAATGTTGGTTTGTTGATGTTTTTTAGTGGGCAACGTCAGCGCATGCATTCTAGCAATAGGAACGACATGTATCGCGGTAGAACAGAGATAACATGTCCTTTTGAAGAAATATTTAATTTGTTGAGTGTTTTCGTTAAGTGTGGAATGAGTTTGAATAATGATTAAGTGTTTTTTTTGGTTTTTTGATTAGAGAAAAATGTTTTTGTTTTAATGCAAATGTAAAAAGAAAAGTCTAAGGGGAAAGTCTATTCTAATGTTGTCATGTAATTAATGGACCTAATGTTAATATGAAAGGGAGAATATAACCTAAATTTATCATGCGTAGGTTGATCTTAAAGTCTAACTCAACACAAAACAATAAAAAATGAAATTAATCGCTTCGTGAAATCTCTTAAGGGAACATGGAAATCAAGCGAAAAATCAAATAAAAAATAAAATACTATCAAGATTTTTTACAATATTTTCAAGTAAAGAAATAATAATATCAAAGGAAATAAAAAAATAATTTCTAAAATAATTTATGATTGTCAAGTAGAGAAATTCCAATATCAAAAAGAAATTAAAATTTCTAATACTAATTTATTCTATTTTTTTAGTAAAGAAAATAATAAAACCCAATCCTAAATTATATATTTTTTTTGCATTTTTTATATACGAAAATAAAATAAAATCATGAAAGAAAAATAAAATATAACGATTAAAAGAAATAACGTGAAACAAGCTTGAAAACAGTAAAGCATGGGGGTCTGAGAAACAAAAACACTGGACTTAAGCTGTAAGAAAATTGGATAGGGCTAGGGTTGAAGAAAATTCGCATGGGCTATGAGCCCATATGCTACAAATAAAAAGAAAATTAATAAAATAAAATAAAATTTTTTGGGCTAGACCGGGTCAATGGGGTCCGAACCCAGCTCATCTAAAACAAAATAATGGGTTAATGAAAACCCTAATCTAGCGCCTCTTATCCAAAAAATCTCTCATCTGATAAATGTAACATCAATCTCTCGTCATGCTCTCAGGCCTCTATTATCCTCTCCCTCGATTTAGATTCTTTTACCCTCACTTACCTTTATATTGGCTTCTTTGACTCACCTTCTTCTTCATTGACAAACTTCAACTCAACACCATGGCCGAATTAACACACACCACCATAGTCGTTCGCACCCTATCCTCTTTGCATCTTTGCAGATTTTCGAACAATAGCTTGGATTTTCATGCTTCAGGACGTATAGAAATGCAGGAATGATGGAAGAGATCAGAGATATACCTATCAAAGTTCGTTCGAAGCGACATTAATTGTGAATCCGATGAGAAAACCAGAGGAAAAGAGGTATGCATTTTTGAATTTTTTTTCTTATTCGAGCTGCTGCTTATTATATGTGTTGCTGATCTGAATTAGAAGTTTTATTTATTATGGAGGGAGTAGTGTTATAGCTCTAAGCCAGGAATTATATCAGATTTATAATCTTTGATGGCGACTTGAAATGGAAACGGAAATTTCACAGGGTTGCATCTGGAAACTCTGGAGTGGTTCAAAAGTTGGGACATGATGGTTTCACTAGTGGAATGCAAAGGGTGATTGTTTACAGATCGATGTTGGTTTTGGTTAAGGGGAGAGTTAAAGTCAGTAGTGTGTTGCAGTAGGGCTAAGGTTTGTTTAAAAGAAGTGGTGAAGGTTTGTGGCAGGTCTTAAGAAGGGCTGCAGAGGTTTGAGGTTTTGAAAAGTATTTATGAGGAAGAGGGATGAATTTGAGAATTGTGGAAGATTGATGGAGATTACTAGTTTAAAGAATGCGGTATGTGAGCTTTTGAGTCTATTATTGGTCAGTTCTTGGTTGGTATATGGAGTTAAGTGTAAGGTTTATGTGTTAGGGCAGTGTAAGGGGAAGGCAAAAGGAGGATCGGGTGGTACGAAGGTTATTGAAAGAAGGTGTAGTGTTGAGGATGTAGCGAGGATATTTCGAAGGTCGCGGTTTTGGTGTTGAAGTATATGTGAAGGAGTGTTTTATGATTGAAGGGTAAAGGTTATGAGGTTTGTATTTTCTGTGTGAAGTGAGTATCAGTGAGGAAATTTGACAAAGCTTTTAGTATGATAATTGTTGATATTTTCATCTGTGTTTTCGGAGCAAAGTAATGGGAGGTTTTCAAGGTGATTTATCTGCCGATTTCTCCTTCATTTTTTTACTCAACTCACCTTGTTTCTTTTGATAGTTTCAAGGTTTAGCAAGAATAAAATAAATGAAAACACACTCAAAGCAACAAACGTTTTAACAAAATTGAACAACAATCTTTGGCGAAGGTAATTCACAAAATAACGCATGAATAAGCATATCAAAGCAAGTATGGTTGGAGAGTTCAGAAAGAATACCGACTCCAAATGTTCTCGGAGGTAAAGATATTTATAGGTAACTTCCCTTCTATTATGCTTATGCTCTTCTCTGGTTTCCTCTACTCTGTGTTCTGTGTTTTACCTATTGTAAAGAGAGTATAGTGTAGTTTTTTGTATGGATTCTCTCTACCCTTTATCCTGTGTTATTCTATCTGTTTTTATAGTGAATGAAAATAAGCTTTTAGGGGGAAAATAGGATAGGTTTTGAACACTTTGAACTGTTTTGGTATATTGTCTTATGCTTTCTTGATGCAGTTTTTTGTTAGCTATTAAAAGGAGCAGGTTTGAAATCTTATGTTTGGTATTTGGTTGTAAGTTTTGTTTGATGCACGACAGACTATTTAGACATGTTTTTGGACTGTTTTGCAGGTTGGACAGTATGATACAAGGATGGTTTTATTTGGGCAGCATAGGACTGTTTGAAAAGCAGGGCATTTGGACTGGTTTTGGGTATATATGGTAGCAATGGTAGGTTTGACAATTTCGGACAACAACATAATAATAGGGTAGCATGACTATTTTTGACAGGTTTTTAGCACATATTTTGGACTGGTATGTTTGGTATATTACATGGTTATTTTGTTTTGTTTTGTACAGGTTTTTGGATAGCAAGTACAATAGGTTTATAATAGGTTTTATGGACTGGCATAGGGGCATCGACAAGGTATTTTAGACAGACTTTGTACGAATGAAACAAAGCATGGGTTTTGGTTATTGGCAAGCGATTTGGAATATTTTGATGCGAAGTTTGGACATAATTTTGAGTAGGTTTTGAAACAAGCTTTGATTATGTAAACAAGAGTTTATGGATAGGTTATATACAAGGCATATCAAAATGAATTTTGGTGTACCATGAAGCTTAGGCAAAGTTTTTGAAATGTCTTGTAATATTGGAATGGAAACTTAATGTGAGATTTAGGTTTTGAAAGATGAAAGTTTAAGATTAGGACTATGAGTTTATGTATGGTTTGTAAAGTTTTATCTTGTAATGAATGATATTTGGATGAATATTGTGTAAATATTTGATAAGTCTTAAGATTTCTTTTATACAGAACCTTGGATCAAAATGAATGAAATTTGAAATGTCACTTGAATTTGAAATGAACCTTGAATAACATTGGTTCCTATTTGAAACTTTGATTTTTCTAAGAAAATCATACGAACCAATCTTAGCTCTTATTTAGAAACTTGAATGAACATGTGACCTTGAACATGAATGAAATTCTTGCAAATGAAAAATGACCTAAGCTTTTTCAATAAACTCCAATTTTCAATGTCATTCAAACAACTTTGTATCTTATAGACCAACCTCTAACTTCAAGTCCCAAAATCTAAGCTATCTTGAAATTTAAGTCCCACAACATCTCCTTTACACCATAGATCAACTCAATCCCTAAATACATCATCTTGACAAAAGCAATGCCTTGAGGAATCTTGTAGAAGTTTAAGGCTTGAAGTATGAATTCTAATGAACCTAGCTCATAAGATCCTCCTTTGGGGTATTGAGGAAACATAATATCAACAAGGCACAACCATAATCTTCTTGCTTCTTGAAGTAACTTGAAAAGATGGTCTTGTCTCTTTATGAGAGAAAGGATCTAGAATGAACATGAGTCAAAACCCTAATCTAAAGTCCAACGTACAGAGGAAGAACAAACAGACCAATCTTTTGATAATCACAGGGAAATAAACCCTAAATCAGGATCTTGATTGAAACCATTGATAAACCCTTGAGAACAAACAAGTGACAACCCTAACATATGTATTGATGGACTTCAACCAACCCATACATAAAGGATGCAAAACCCTAATCCACCTGAGATACACACTGAATGAAGAAAATGGTTTGATGATCCTCAGTAAAGATAATGCTTGCGATGATGGAGGGATAAAACCTTAGATATCGAGGAAATGATGCTCAAGATATTCACGCTATCAAAACCCTCATTCACAAGTCCATTGCTCAAGAGAAAAACCAGACGAGTCTACCTTTATTTTAACCGAGGAAATCTCAAACCAATGGAAACCCTAATTGGTACAACCTCTGATTCTGAACCCATGCCTTAGGAATGTATGATATGTGAATGATCTATTGGAAATGATGCAAATGAAATGCGAATCCTAAACCAGATAAAAGTAATATAGGTATGACAAATTTGGGGTATGACAGTTGCCTCTATTTAATTATCTTAAACCTGAAAGTGATATTAGCGTCAGCCTTTCGATCATTTAAGGTAGAAGAAGATTAAATACCAATACATGAAATTTGTCCTGGAGAGATGGTGTAAGTGTTATTATTTGTGATATCTACTGGGGGTTTAAAGAAAGGATCGACACAGACGAGTATCGAAAGAAGATACATACGATCATTAATAAAAGGTTAACACGAACGAGTGTTTGAAGATCCATACGGATGAGTATTGGAACAAGATACAGACGAGTATTATAAAGGTAATAACACAGACGAGTGTTTTGAAAATCAATACGAAAAAGTATTGAAAAGAGATACGAACGAGTATCAAAAAGTTAATAACACGGACGAGTGTTTTGAAAATCAACACGAACGAGTATTGAAATGAGATACGAACGAGTATAAAATAAGTGATAACACATCCGAGTGTTTAAAGATAAATACGGATGAGTATTGAAATGAGATATGGACGAGTATCAAAAAGAGTGATAACACAAACAAGTGTTTGAAGATAAATACAGACGAGTATTGAAATGAGATACACACAAGTATTAAAAAAAGTGATAACATAGACGAGTGTTTAAAATTAATACATACAAGTATTGAAATGAGATACAGACGAGTATAAAAAAGTAATAACACGGACGAGTGTTTGAATATCAATATAGACGAGTATTGAAATGACATACAGACGAGTATCAAAAAGCATTAACACGGATGAGTGTTTGAAATCAAAACGGACGAGTATCGAAATGAGATACACAAAAGTATCTAAAAGGTAATAACATGAATGAGTATTTGAAAGAGAGGCATAAACGAGCGTTTGAAGGTTAATTTTCTGTCTTGTATGACACTGATGAGCAAGTCTTTTGCGTGAAGTAACTTAGGAAATCTGTTGTAGATATCAGATGGACATTTGTGAGGATAACATCCTCTATGGAGACACACCATTATTCTGATTGGGGATTGAGTATGGCCTATGCTTCACATGCATTTTTGAGTTGTATAGTGTAATGATGGATGTCAACTAGGAATTGTGGGATGGCATTCTCTGTGGGGATGTTTTACTGTTTTAAGGATTGATTTGGGCTTTTGTGCAAGGTACCAAATCTGGCTTATACTTTGTATTCATTTTGAAGTGTATGGCGTAATGATCCATTTCAATGGATATGCTATGAATTTGAGGATGAAATGTAATATGTAGTGATGATTACTATATGCAGAGTGCCAAATATTAGGCTCATCGGGGTCCGTGGCCCATTGTCTTTGAGATACCAATACATATTGGTGCTTGAAAACTTGAAAATTGAGTTATAGCCTTGTTGGGGATTAAATTGCAGTCTTGCTGGGGAGGAGTAGCTTGATATGACTTTCCCTTCATCCTAGAAGACTTGTGGATGGCTGGGTAGAGACATAGGTCTCCTAGAATGCCCCAAGTTACCTCAATGTTGGAGAGTCACGTGCTCAACCGTCTGCATGGGGTGGAGATGACAAAAGCTAGGTCGAGGTGACCGTTACGACTTGCTACCCGCATAGAAAAACAACATTTGAATGCCATGGCACTCCCCTGGGATGACTTCATGTCAATGTAACGTCGTGTTTCACATTTTAGCTTGTGATTATTATTACCTTATTATTTTTAATGCAATGTTTAATAAAGAATTTAAATCACAATTCGCATACGAAAAATAAAGTAAAAAGACATATCAAAGAATCTTTTTAGTGAAAAGGAAATTTTATTAATGAGATTGGCCTGTGAATAGGCATTCGTACATGGAAACAACTCCTAAATGAGACAGTTACAAAGAAAACACAAAATACAGCAGGTGAAATGGCAATAAGAAAGTCTCAAACTTCCATTAAAACTGATATTACTAAGTTCCCGTATCCTTGATCATCCTAATGCTTTGCTTCTGAAGGGTAATAGTCGAATTGATCCATCCATTTTCAGGAGTGTATATTGTTATTCATGAAGAGTTTTCAGACTGCAGCCTCTCGCTTTTAGTCCCTAATTTTTGCCTGGATTGCCTTTTCGGGTTTTCAATCCACCGGGATACCCATTTTTCCTAAACCGCCCTTTCGGGTTTTCGACTTAGCGGGTTATACTTTTTTCTTTCTTTTTAGCCCTAATTTTTGCCTAAGCTGCCCTTTCGGGTTTTTGACTTAGCAGGTATTTTTATGCGTAGTATTTTTTGATTGAGTTTGAGTTGACTGGAAGTGGAACGTCTTCCCCATCCATGTCTGTCAGGATTAGAGCACCTCTTGAGAAATCTTTCTTAAAGATGTATGGTCCCTCATAGTTGGGAGTCCACTTGCCTCTTGGATCAGAGTGAATTTTGAGGATCTTCCATAAGACCAGGTCCCTCGTGTGGACCTCTCGAGGTCAAATCTTCTTGTCATATGCTCTCTTGAGACGCTGTTGATATAACTGACCGTGACAAATGGCTTCTAGGTGCTTCTCTTCAATGAGATTGAGTTAGTTGAGCCTCGTTTGAATCCACTCAGCTTCGTCAAGCTTGGTATCCACCAGAACCCTTAATGAAGGAATTTCCAGTTCGACTATAAGCACAACATCTATACCATGGACAAGCGAAAAAGGAGTTCCCCAGTGGAAGTACGCACATAAGTCATATAACCATGTAGAACAAAGGGAAACATCTCATGCCAATCCTTATATGATTCTCACCATTTTCTGGACGATCTTCTTTATGTTCTTGTTAGCTTCTTCGACTGTGCCATTCATCTTCGGCCGATATGGCGATGAATTATGGTGCTCAATCTTGAATTCTTCACACATCTCCTTCATCATATGATTTCTTTTTTGATGAAGCGAGTGCCGACTTGCATGTTCACACTCTTGTAAGAAGCCGCTTCCACCCACTTGGTGAAGTAGTCAATAGCAATGAGAAATAACCTATGTCCATTTGAAGTGCTTGGTTCAATCTGTCCAATCATATCAATGCCCCACATCAAAAAGGGCCATGGTGAAGTGATCACATTCATAGGAGTGGGAGAAATATGTATCCTGTTGTGATACGGTGGGAGAACTGACTTGGGATTTTGCGTTTGTGTTCGCAAATGTTTCGGTTTAGCAAGAGTCGCCACCGACTTTTTATTTTATCCTAAGGAAAGGTCAAAAAGCACAGGAAAGACCTTTGAGATGTTTTCTTGGGTTCGGGGAGTAGATTATAGAAAGGGAAGGTATTAGCACCCTTTCTATCCATGGTTATACATGGGCTCTTAGTTACTTGCTTAGATCACTTGCTTTGCTTTTCAATTGTTTGAAATGATGCTTTTTAATTGTTTGAAATGGTGCTTTGTGTGTGATTTTGAAAGATGTTTTGAAAAGAGGCCATCGTTGTGGCAACCTTTGTAATGATTCTTGTTTAAATGTATACAAAGGTGTCTTGTCTTTTGAAAAGTTTTCAATGTTTGAAAGTAGGGTTTTGAAATTGTGTTGTGAAGTGTGTTTTGAAGATAGC